AGTTTTGCATTTTTGGCTACATACTAGAGGTTTTTCACAAAGATTTTATGCTCATTTTATAGAGAATTTTCAGCTCTACAACATAGAGAAATTTATTTTGTATGACCATTTAAAGCAAATCTTAGAGAAATGAACGTTCTATCTAATGGTATGTTTAAAAAAAATTTCGATGTACTTTGCAATTGGCAGATTTTCTGAAATACCCGGGATTTCAGAGACCTATATCTCAGAAACTGAAGATAAGGTATCGGGATCTCAGTTGATTCATATGTTTCGAGAGGTGTAGAGTCCGAAAATGTGTATTGGAGTGAACAAAACTGGGGAAAACATGGTTAAAAATATCTTGGGGAATCATCAAAGATCAAATAAGTGTCGTAATGCTTGTGAAAGGTGGCCCTCAGCAGACTTATAAGAGTGATGCGGAAAACAAACAATTACATTTCTAGATAGAATTGACCACGAGGAATCTGATGCACGTATTATTTTTGAGTTTAGAGTTCGATCTGATGGTGAAAAACACATTTCAATATGACGGTTTTTCATCATCTTAGAACAAGTACAGTAGAGCAATGCAACATTTTGAATTTTTGTAAGTGAGCCATTTTATTCCTTGTGATCTGTAGTCTATATCTTGAAGCGTTCATGTTTGTCGCTTGTGTCATTTCTGAGATAATTAGGTATGATTTGCATCTGAAAACCGATAAAATCACTAAATGTCGGACCTTCCCAGAACCCCATGCCGATGCTTTAAAACTTTTCTATATCCCATATTCTTACTCAGAATTAAATGTTCTTTCAGACGAGATATGTCGTGATTTTTGCGGCAGACCTTCATGTAAAGTGTGGGACAGTACCGAAAGAACCCAGATATTGCCCACATATTAATGGAAACGGTAGTGATTAGCACATCGTTATACATCCTATGCACTTGGTTTAGCAACGCTATAAAAGACTTGACATGACTTTGAATCTGACTTTGTACATTTGAGATATATGAACATCAACTGCTGATAATACTTAGGACAAATAGTTTCGCCAATCTTGGGATACTCGTGGATTTATTCGAATGCTACTGTTACCTCTCTCATTTTTGGAAGAATGGGCTCAATATGCAAAAATAACTTAACATAATGAATAGAACGCAAATTGTAAGTTTCTATCAGTTGTAGGGTTACTCGCAAAACCGTTATGTTTGACAAAAGTAACTCATCATTCACCTCAGTTGCCTATTGGATGACAATTGTGCCTGGCAGTGTGGAGACATATCCCGATCGGGATACTACTTTTTTTCTATATCCCGATCAGGATATAGGAGGTGTCCCCTTACTGCCTGGTACGTTCTTGTTGTTCTATTCATGTTCGAGAAATCGTAAAAACTGAATAAACACATTTTTTCTCGTTTCTACAGGTGCTCGCATTGTAAGTTGTTTCTATGACTTTTATCTATACATTAGAAAAAATTTATTCTGTTCCTGTTTTCTTTGCGTAAAGTGCATTGGAGTTATAAAAAACTATTTTTATTGAGGTATAAAGATGATGAATGGAGATTGTTCTTTATTTTATTGCAATACACTCGTCACTTCAGCATAGTATACGTCTAAACTTTTACAAAAGAAAATAAACTGTTATTGAGAAACTATGTCAGCAATCAATGCAGTTGATTCGAATCACATCATTATCTGGCTGGATCAGCATATTTGTTTAATAGGAGAGTATGAAAGTTTGAAAGACAGGTTCCGGCAAATATTAGGGGAATTAGAAACATTTACAGATCCAGATAAATGTCTCAGATTTATTCGACAATGTAGCAATCGAACAATATTTCTTATTGCATCAGGTACTCTTGGTGAAATAATTGTGCCCAAGGTCTACAATTATCCACAAATTCATGCCATATTTATTTTATGTGTGAATATTGCTAAACATAAAACATGGGCAACAAAATTTTCTGATAAAACAAATATATTTGATTTTGATGAAGATTTACTTATACGATTGATCAACGAAATTGCACGATATTTTACAAATGAAGCTGAGAAATTGAGGGATACAAATCAGCTTGTTAATGCTTATGCATTATATAGTAATGCGCAATTACTGTTTGACAAAGCAAACGTATTACAACGGAAAGCGTGTGATGATGTACTTAGTTTAATAGAAATACAAAAAGCCAAACTTGAACAAGTAAAAGGTAAAAAGACCTGCAAAAAAAGAATTGACTCGGATGTTTTTTGAATAACGTTTGACCGAAAAGTAACAGAAATTTGCGGTCTTTACCAATTGGAAGCCAAGATCTGACCGCCTTTTCCCATCACGAACCTCATTCTTCCAAAGTAGGTTTTGCAGAGGATCTTTAGAAAATATGTCATTACTAAAAGGCGTATAATAAAAATATTAACTAATAAAATAATAACAAGTTTACAAAACCTGATGGTTTTACAAAAGGATTTCTGAGAACGTTTGGGCAAAAATATGGCTTTCAACTGTTTTGATGATATCATCAGACCTACGAGATAAATTTAGCCATACCCTGAGGTTTTGAGCTCGTTTTGCTTTTTTTTGAGTGAATTGTAAATTTTTTAATACAAGGTGAAAACAACCTGGAAACCGCTCAGTTTTCACCAGATTTTTGGAGTCTTTCCAAAAAACATACATTACCAAGAGATTCTGCATGGTCGATTACGTATGTTCCATGCGATCTCAAATTTATCCCAAGTCACCATATGTCAGTCCTGAGACTCCACTGAGGTCCGATACCACGACAGAATTCCTAAAAATCAAGGTCTCGCTTGACATCCATTTTCAAGTGAACACTTTAGATTATCTACCAATGACAAAGAGCAAAATATGTTATAAGGTTTTTAGTAATAACATGGTTTTCCAAAAATCCTCTGCAAAATCTGCTTTGGAAGAATGAGGTTTGTAACAGGAATCAACTTCCAGTTGATGAAGACCACAAGTCTCTATCACTTTTCTGTCAAACGTTATTCAAAAAACAGCCGAGTCTATTTTGCTTTTTTCAGCAACATCGTTAACACTTATTTCTGATATGTTCGTACGGTCACGTATAAAAGAAGAATTCTTCTTTTTTTTGTTAAAAACAAGTATGTACGTAAACGAGTAGGGTTAGAATTAACACTTGATTTTTTTTGATCAGGTCGAAATGGTCAAAAGTAAGGAAGATATTTTTATCAAACATTCCATTATTCATGTTCTTGAGTGCAACAATAGCATTTAAATCATGAAGCTTCGTGTTCAATTCCGGTGTCAGATTCTATATAAGTATTTTAATATTCTCATCTATCCTTGAGTTTGCTTTAATATTCCATAGTTTCTTATAGAAAAGTCTTAGTTCTTCTCAAACGAACAATTGACTCACATGGACATTTTTCGTAGAATTAATCCTTATCGTCTTGTTCGTCCATTTATCAATTTTACGAATCTTTCTAACATAAAATCTTTTCATAGTAAATGCTTTGTTTCATAATTCTTCATTCTGCTCAACTATCATTGATGACAAATAGTTTTAGCATTCATTTAGAACATCTTCAATATACCCTAACAAAACAGTCGTATGATGCCGAAATTGAGTCAAGTAGATTGATGAAAAGTAAGTCATTTCAATATTATACTTCTAGTATCAAAATAAATGATAATATTTCTTACACAGCCATAATTCATATAATTATCAGGAAAAAGAAAATTTTATTAGTGACGTACAACGTATGATTTTGTATATCTATCTTTTAGGATTAGAAATGTGTGAATTTTTCATTGAACCGTTTACAATTGTGTGTCTGAATACATCTTCCACGTATCAACGTATACATGTTGGAAACAAAGCCTTCAAATCAGGAGTTTATAATACTAATATCATTCAGCCTTCAACTGTAGCATGCTGTACAGATAAAGATCAGTGTTTTGAATTTATTAAACTGAATGCACACAAGACAATTTCACTGATTATTTTATTAAATACAATTATTTCTGAAGATTGGAAACCAACTGTTGAACAATATTCTCATTTATCTCAAATACACTGGATATATGTTCTATCTACAAAAGTTCCTCAAGATAAAGCATTACTAATAAATTATTCGAAAGTACGCGGCATTTATGATGCTGAAAACATATTATTTTGTCAATTTTTAAACGATGCAGCCACTTATTTCATTAGTAGAGGCGATCAAGTCAAGGAAACAAGTAATGAAAATTCATCAATAAAAGTAAACTATGGAGTAGCAATGAAAATTTACAAACTAATGGAAGACGATTTCGAACAGCAAATGAAGAATAAAAGCAAACTTCATGAAACTGAGAAGAAATGTCATTGATTCACTAGGATGAGTACATTTTCTTTCCATTATTAAGTACATTTTTCTCGAATACGTATGTGACTGATGGCTTTGTTGTGTATGTCCAATATACAAATTGCATCCAATCAATTGAATGTTACAAACTTTTTCATACATTTTTGAATCGTTTATTTGCATCCAAGGCGTAGTTCATGGTTATTTATTTTGTACTGTTGTCTCATTTTTTTCCGATTCTTACTCTCTCAGCTGCTTCCCTGTGTCAATTTCGAATCACTTTTGATGCACTCTAAAAAGAAGTGCGACTTAAGATGAAATTAAGTCGCATTAATGTGTCTTATTTTCACAGAATAAGGCACATTAGTACGACTTAATTTGATCCTAAGTCACATGTTTTTTTAGAGTGTGGATTTGATTTCTGAAGCCTGAGATATCCGCTATTTAATAAGCAGTCTCTTTGCCAACGTCTGTTTACCTTCACAAAGCTCCGGTAGGATCACATGAAGAGAACTATGAACACAACTAAAACTATTGATTATGAAGACTAAATGCCGTGCCAATGTTTGTTTTCAATAAATACTTTAATAAGCTGGTGAAAATCTACTTTAGCTAAACTAACTGATCTTAAGCTACTTTCATGTAAAACTGAAAACTTTGTGACCCAGTCAGAGTCGATGCAAAACTCTTGATAGAAAACAAGTGCTTCAGATGTTTTATCAAGAATATTTGAGACAGTTGAAATGTGTATACAAAACATAAAATAGTGATATGAGCAAGTTGGCTATCACAGTCGTTTGTTCTATGTGTCTTGTTTGTTTTCTTTCTAGAAGCTAATTTAGTATTTCGTCATGAATCATGACGTCCGGTAACCGGTAAAAAAGTTTTACCGCTACCGCGGTAATCTCGTCTTTCGGTAAATTCATCTTACCGTTACCGCGGTAAATTTCGCGCGGTAAAAAGTCTTTTACCGTTACCGATTTTTTGTCTCGGTAAAAAAACTATTACCGTTCATTTTTCCGGTAAATTTTTTTTACCGTTTCAATAAATGTTGTTTACTTATGTTTGTGTTTCTAAATTTTCTTCAGGAAAATGAATAAAAGTAATCTGAGTCATGAATAACAGTTCAAAACAATTTTATTTTTTTGACGCTACATATTCTTTTTCTATTCTAAAATATCGTCTGTGATTCAGAATGCATGAGTTTATATCATCGCATGATCAGAATTAGAAGGGAATAAAGAAATAAAAACAAAATAACAGACATCAGTTCGGTAAAAAAAACTTTACCGGAGAAAAATTCGGTAAAAAGTATTTACCGGACCTTCGGTAAAAAAATTAGCACCGCTACCGCGGTAAATTTAGTACGGTAAAAAATATTTTACCGTTACCGCGGTAATCTCATTTTTCGGTAAATTCATCTTACCGTTACCGCGGTAAAAAGGCTTTTACCGTTACCGACGGTAAATTACCGGTTACCGCACATCCCTAGTCATGAATACTAAAGAGATCTTCCCGATTTTAAGCAAAAACTTGAAAAGCGTGTAGGGTTGTTTTGTTTCATGTAGAAAAAAAATTTAATTTTTCTTATAGTAAGGAAGAAAACACAATGATCCAACTCGTTTACTAGAAAAACTGTTCATAACTTTTTGGAAGAAGCAGCAACGGTCCAGAATCTTTTCAAGGCTTTTACTAGGATGCTATCCTCACAAAACACTTACGAGGGAACCACCCGAAATTATAAACCGATTTCGGGTTGGGACTATTTTTGTTAGAAAGGCCCTAATGACTAGTGAAATACCCCAACTTGGTTCTTCCCCATGGTGCTTTGTTGCTGAGATACTGAGTTTTTAGTCAGTTTTTGCCTATAGAGCTTGGATTTTGAGCAAAATCCGACTTTCGAATTTTGATTTCAAACTTGCCACACTTGTAGCCCATGGTCATAGTAGTACGACGGAAAAATATTCGGTGCTAATGAATTTTCCTGCCTTGAGATATTGAGACTCGAATATTTGACCCTCACTCTTACCTTCTGGTGAAATGTTCGAGTCTGAATATCTCAAGGCAGGAAAATTCATTAGCACCGAATATTTTTCCGTCGTACTACTATGACCATGGGCTACAAGTGTGACAAGTTTGGAATCAAAATTCGAAAGTCGGATTTTGCTCAAAATCCAAGCTCTATAGGCAAAAAACGACTAAAAATTCAGTATCTCAGCAACAAAGCACCGTGGGGATGAACCAAGTTGGGGTACTTCACTACTCATTAGGGCCTTTTTAACAAAAATAGTCCCAACCCGAAATCGATTTATAACCTCGGGCGGCTCTCTCGTTAGTACTTTGTACGTTTGAAGTCGAATATATCATTTTAGCGTCCATCTTTATGTTTTTCATGTTGAATTTTAAACGTATAAACTGATTTGTAATTTGTTCTACGAACTGATGGTTTGAAGAATCATATTTATTAGAGTGTTTATTTTCTTTCTCTATGTTTATTTCTGTGTTTATTTTCATCTATTCACCTGTATTTTCTCTACTCTCGTTGCAGATGTCCTAGGTCATTGATATCCATATAATGAATTTCAGACTGAAAATACTTCTGCTTGATCCAGATCATCAACACTTGTCTATGCAACAGACTTTTACAGATTTCTTCATTATTACGGCTGACAGACATTATTGCTTGAGTTACATTTGTGCAAATGTTAACATTGACATATCTTTATTTTTACCGGCCAAACTCGCAAGTGAGGTTGTACCTGGATTATGTGATAATTTAAACGTTCAGTTTTATGTCTATTGCCCAAATGGTACATGGGCAATTCATAAAGATCGATTTATTAAAGATAAATTGAGAGTATTTGAAGTATTCGACGAACATAATCTAATTTTTCAACTAGGACAGGTTACTGGAATGCTTCATAAAAAAGTGGCAGACTACTATCGTGAACTCGGAAATGATGATGAGGCCGATCAACAATTGTATAATGCTGTACGAATTAACCGTACCATTCAACTTGAATTAACGAACCGAATGATGGTTAACCCAGGTATAGAAGAAAATCCATAAGTATGCGACGATACTGACTTGGTGATACTTACTCATTATTCATTCACAATTCCGATAATTGATTGAAACATTGCATATTTTTTCCTTTCATATTTTTCGTCACTAATTGTAGTAACTATGTAAACTGGTAGCCGAATGAAACTATGCAAAAGGCTGACGCACATTTCAGAAATTTATATTCAGGTGCATTTTAAAACTTTTTTGCCCGATTCTAGGTTTAGAACATATTGATTGTAAAACTAGTTATTCTGAATTATTTTTGTTACGGATATCTAAATCAGTTGAACTTGTTGAAATATGTTCATTTTTTACCATTATTTTTACTTTTGTCAGTGTATGTTACACAAGTTTTCAGGTGTTCTCTTTGTTACAAGTAAAATTTATTTTTCTGACATATGATTTAATGATGGCTAATGGAGTAACTGTATTACCATTATTATTTTGAATTTGAGGGTATTCTTATTTCCATTTATCTTATGAGCTACTCTTGATTGACTATTTGATACAATGAATTCCTGATAAGTTATCATTCTTCATATAAGTGAGTTCCATAGACATTGTAGAATATAAGTTCCGGCTGTATTCTGCTTGTCAAACTGTTCGTGCTGAATAAAGTTTAAGATAGGATAGTTCTCAGTACGTGGAAGAATCCGAGATCTGTTTGTCAATATTTCTGTTCACGCAATAGCCGCTAAATTATTGCACAGATTGTTCTGCACTTGCTCAACACAAAGTAGAAGTTTCAACTCGTTCTGATGCAGTTTGAGTGAATTACGAGTTTTTTAATATTAGGTGAAACAACCTGCAAATTCCAATTGCTTGTAAAACACGGTTTTCATTAGGTTTCTGTTTCTTTCTTTGAAAATAAATACCGCCACTACATTTAGCATGATCGGTTATGTATGTCTCTTGCGCTTTCGAGTTACTTCAAATCATTGGGTGGCACTTCAGGGGCTCCTTCGAACTCCCATGCTAATTCCGAATCAAGGGCTCACGTGACTCTTATAGTGAAGAGGACGCTTTGGACTCTTTACTCGTGAACAAAAACACGTTCCAAAACGTGTTTCATGCATATTCTGGCTAATCTTGAACTTTTGTAAAAGTTTCTTCTCAAAACTGAGATATCTATTGTTAAAAAGCACCTGATGTTAAACTGGAAGATTTAATTGAGGAGTTTTGATCGATGAATGACTAAGAGCATCAATTCTATAACAAAGGAGTTTGAACTTTTTCGGTATGTTCAATTCTTCATGTCTTTATTTTGTATCGTTTTTGATATTTACTGGTACGACTATATTTATTATGACGTTTTTTATTAGAGAGACATCTTTTCTCACGAACATGGTTGCCCTCCTTTTGTCCTTCTTAAGTAATTTGTGCACAGTCCCTCTTACACTTTCCTTACGCGTATACTTTTATTCACTTATTTTTTTTATGATTTTGTTGCTTTTCTCCTTTTTGTTTCTTTCTTTTTTGTATTATTCTGTTGAGAATCGAGGGCTTGACGACTGGTGTTAGGAATATAAGTATTTTTTTATAAAACGTTGCACGTTGTCCATGAATGATAAAACTATCTAAAAATGCGCTAAGATAACCAGATTCAAATAGTGCATAATACATCACATATTAACAAGGTTTGTTGATTCATCAAGACCAGAGAAATCGAATAAATTTGTGTTTCGTTTCTCACATAAAAGAATATCAGATATTCGTAACTAACACAAGCGGTTGTGTATTTGAAAAGATCATTTCTTAAATGTATATATGCGGTCGCAAAAACTATCCAGTATGTCCGTGAGCCTACGATGGTTGTACACGAGAGAACAGAAAGAAGAAAGTGAAAAACATAAAAAAAAACAGTAAGCAGTGATTTTTTACTTGTAGCCTGACGATGACGATCAAATAGCGACTCCAGAACAGTCAGATGGAGCTGCTGCATATGCATTGAAACTTAGAAGATGCTGGATTTAGATTATAATTTTTGGAACGGAGTTTGACTATGCTTATACAAACTCGACTATCAGGTGATTACTAATTCTACGATTCATAACACGATACTAGTTTCTCTTCGAAACCGTGGCAACATCTGTAAATGAAAGTTTATTGAATTCCCATCTGTTGCTTCTTATCAGTAGTAAATGTTGGAAAGTACGTTGCTGAATTTTTTTCGGTTGTTAGATCACCTCTATTTTTATGCTCTGCGATTTTCTCTTCTCTAAGGGGCGTCATAAGTGATACCACGGTACAGCAAACTCAAGCGAGCTCTAAATGTTCCGTAGCTAAGGTTCAGAGGTGTTATCCTTTTCAGATGATAAGGCCTGTAGCCGTTTCTGAATAATTCGGGAAAAAAAGGTGAGTAACGTTTTCGGCGTTTTTTATTAGAATATTTAGAAAACTGTTTCACAACTAAAAATATAAAATAGCAATATGTTATTTATTTATTTATTTCATGAGTAAGTAGTCTAGGATGTCCTCTTCAAAATGGGAGTCAACATCCTAGTTAGAGATGTGCAACCCAACTCGATCCGAAGGTTAGGTACAGGTACGAAGTTGTCGGATACGGGCAGAGTAGCTATGAGTACGGGTTCCGTTTTTTTAATTTACCGGAAAATCGTAAGGTTTTAGTGGAAAATTCACAAAGTTTTATTGAAAAATGCAAAAAGTTTACATTAGTGTGGACAAAGTGTCCAACGACGAATTGACCAATCGCAATATTTGAGCGTAAAAGTGATACAATAATTCACATTTTACCATTGTTTTGCGAATTCGTAATTCAGTTCGAACTGATGCGAACTGACAAAAATAATCAAAAAATAATCAAAAAGGTGCCTCTTTTGTTCCTCTTGCCAATTCGTTAACTGGGACGAATTTGTAGGCAAGAAATTTCGGATACCCACGAATTCGTAAATCGAATTGGTCTACTATCGACGAATTCGTGAAATGATCTTTTTGATCCCCAAGAATTCGTATACGAATTCGTGAATTGGCAGAAATACGATAAAATGTGAATTTACGAATTCTATTTACGAATTCGTAGATGCCAAAGCATATCCGATGAATTCGTAAATTCGCATACTACTCACCTCAGTTCGCTGTTATGTTTACGAATTCGTAAAACACGAATTGATGTCAAGGACAAGAAAGCATTTCCATGAGGTTAAAAATAGATAGATTTGTCTCTTCGCATCAATTCGCATACTTCTCATATCACATCGTAGTTACTTTTACGAATTCGCAGAATGCAAATTAATATCAAGGACAAGAAATTGTTCTATGAGGTTAAGAAAACAGAGACTCGTCTCTTCGCTTCAATCCGTTGGATTCTTGCATCAATTCGTCGATAGTTTTTCGCGAAAGAAAATAGAGAGGAATCTCTCTCCTTTTTGTGTGCGTGCGAAGAAGTGTGCGAGAAGTATGCGAACCGATGCGGAGAGACGATTCTTACTTTTCTTAACCTCAGAGAAATGTGTCTTGTCCGTGACATCAATTCGTCAAGCATATCCGACGAATTCATGAATAGAAGGCGTAAATTCGCATTTTATTGTCTAGGAATTTTTCTATGAGGTTAAAAATAGATAGATTCGTCTCTTCGCATCAATTCGCATACTTCTCATATCAATTCGCCCTTATTTTTACGAATTCGTAAAATGCGAATTGATATCAGGGACAAGAAATTTTGCCAGGATAGCCGTGAGTGTTTACACAACAAGCCAAACGTGTTTCGCTGTATTTCAGTCAGTTGTTTGCGAATTCGTAAAAATAACGGCGAATTAATGTCAGAACTATGCGAACCGATGCGAAGAGACGAATCTATCTATGTTTAACCTCATTGAAAAAGTTCTTGTCATTGATATCAATTCGCATTTTACGAATTCGCAAAAATAGCGGCGAATTGATATTAGAAGTATCCATTTTCAACCGCTGGATCAGTTCGTAATACGAATAAATCTAGTTCTAAAAGCAGTGAACATTAATTCGTAAACTAATTTTACGAATTATTTGCGAATTGATCAGCATCGTGTTTGATCTATTCGCATGTTTACGAATTCGTAAAAGTTTTTAGGAGTATCCGTACGAATTCGATACAGTTCGCATCAATTCGCTGTGAATTCTCAAAATAAACGTAAAATACGAATTGTGGCATCATTTTTACGCTTAAAATTTGCGATTCATCAATTTGTCTTTAGATACTTTGTCTACATATCTCAAATTTTAGCTAAATACATGAAGTTTTAAAAAAGAGTTACTTGAGAACGTAATGACAATTCGACATCTCCAGCCGAAAAATAAAAGCTTTTAGCTGGAAAACGGAAAGCAGAAAGTTTTTAGGCATAGGTCGGGTACGGATACAAAGTTCTCGGGTCGGGTATGGGTGAACAAAAGTTACGGATACGGGTACGAAAACGGTACCCGTGCACATCTCTAATCCTAGTTTTCAGCAGTTCGGACGTGATATCGAACTTCCTGGAAGCCATATGACTAGTTCCCGGCAACTGTTGATAACATTGGAAAGGGGTGGATTACAGGTAACCCATCATTCTGAGTCTTCCGGCACTATTAGTAATTAGAAAACAATGTTAAAATCAAAGGGCAAGAAGCTTTCAGAAAACTAGAACTGTCCAGGTGGTTTCACCTAAAATTAAAAAATTCACTATTCACTCAAAAAGTATCGGAACAAGTTGAAAAATTATATTCAGTGCTCAAGGTATTTTATATTTTATTTTTAAGAGATTCACGAAAAAGAATTTATAAAACATCAGAGTTTTTGAAAAGGTTTTCTAGAAACTCTTTGAGTAAAAATGTGGCTTTTCAATTTTTTCCATCCCAGCAACAGGTATGGTGAACAATATTAAGCATATCATGAAGTTTTCAACTTGTTCTGATGTATTTTGAGTGAATAGTGACTGTTCTAATATTAGATAAAAATAGCCGGAAAACCCTAGTTTTCTTAAAATCCTTTGATTTTAACATTGTTTTCTAATTACTAATAGTGCCACGAG